ACCAATCATACATCAATCATTCAAACCATTCAAGTTTCCAATTCAATTCTTAATTTATTAGTGACAAACAATATTTATTATTGCATCCTTTAACTACCTCGATGTATAAACACCTTAAGTGCATAAGGCACCTCAAATTCTCAACCTCGTCTTATAAGACTTTAATTCTTCATTTACTCATTCCATTTCAATATAAATGAACAAGTAACCAAAATAATTCCTTCCATATATCCTTGTATCTTTGCCTCTAAGCTCACTTTGCAAATTATTGCATAAATAATGCTCATAAGGAAAATCAATGCAAATTTTCTCATACATAAATTAAACCAATCATCACATTTATCATCAATCAACTCATTACCAAACAATTCCAACCAATCCACAAGTTCCCTAGCATGATTCTAGGTTTTTCCAAGTCCCTAAACATGCTCCTAAAATCAAGGTTCCTCGTATTCTTATACGTACCTTGAGTACACGAATTGGTTGGCCACCTTAAGACTAGAAGTCACCTTCTACGAAGTCCTCTCCTAAACAAAACAACAATAGCTCAATTAATACCCAAGCAATATAATTTACAGCAATACCAAACTACTTTAAAACCCCTTAAACTATTGAATTAATGCCTTTAAATTGCTCACAATAGTCAAAGTTAATAATTCAAAGTTCAATTACAAGTTTATATGTTAAAATCATGAAAATATAGCTTATAGCATAAAATTTCAGCAACTTTAAAGTAGGATTATAATCTGAAAATTTATTTATAACATCAATCCTTCGTTAAAAATCTAAAACTGCCCAAAAGGGGCTGAATTTGGCCACGAGAAGGTGGTGCTCACAACGAAAGGTAGTGAGTTTTGATTAGAGCGTCGTTTACACACGAAAAACACTATTTTTTTGCAAAAAATCAGACGAGTCAGAGTCAAGACGTGATTAAAACGTGATTAAGGGAAATTACGAACGAAATTCAGAAATTAATTCCGAAAAATTTAGAACTTGCTGTTGAATTACACATCATCATATTCATAGCAAAATCACAACAAAATCATGCTTAAATTGAGTAACTATAGCAACACGTTATTAAACCCTAAAAATCATGAAAAATTAACATTTAAACCTTCAATTTTCGCATAAACCAAATCTTAAATTTTATTTCATAAATCAAATGAAGTATACTCATAAATTTTGCAATCTTTCATAGTCATAAACATAATCAAACTATAATAATTATTAAACATTGAAAAATTCATGTAAAGATTGAAACTTTAAAGAAGATTAAACAAGAAAGAGAGAAAGATAAAAGAGAAGGGGAAGGAAACCGGCTAGGCGGTGGTGGCTGCAGGTTTCGGCTGAGGGCAGGCGGCCGTGGCAGCAGCAAACGGTCGCTGGTGGAGGTGGTGGTCGGCAGCAGTGGCGGTGTAGGGCAGCAACGATTTTTTTTTTTTTTTTTTTTTTTTTTTTTTTTTGTGTGTGAGTCGTGAATGAAGGGGGAAGCAAGGGGAAGCAGTAGAAGTTTATAGGAGGGTTTTGAGAGGAGAGTTTACTTAATTAAAAATGGGAATATGGGCTTTTTTTTTTATTTGTAGAGTTAGGATGGTAGTCATGGCCCAAAGTGAGTAAAAATGCTATTGAAATATAAGTTATAGTTTTTATTTTGTCAAATCCTTCCAAAATATTTATATAAGTATAAAATTATTATAAAATATTCGTATACATAAAAATATATAATTATTATTTACTAAGAAAAATATGGGGGATTACACCATGTCTCTTCCTTCTCTCTTTGGCCCGAACCGGACTGGCAAGTCTATCCGGCCTACTGGGTGGATAATGCCCCCGCCAAACCCAACTAACGGGTAGGAGATATCCTTTGGTGCATCTTCTGGGAACTTCAAGTCTTTCAAACAGGCTAAGCTGATTATGTCGGACGATTTGCCTATGTCTATTAGCACTCGTCCTACCTTCAAATTGGCCACCTTCAATATGAACACCATTGGATCATCATGGGGAATTCTAATTTTGCCTATGTCTGCCTCGCAGGCAGTCACCTATGGGAATGGCTCCACTTTTACATTCTCCGTGTACATGACCTTTCCGGATTGCCAAATATCTTGCTTGATTCCCTTCATGGTTGGGCCGTCTGCAACAAAACCACCTTAAATGACGACCACGAAATTCCCATCTTCATCATCTTTTTCTTTTCCTTCTTCTTCTCAAACTTATTGTCCGTCCGAGAGTAAGTGAATTTCGACCTCAAGACATACGAGTTGAGCATGCCCTTCTCGGCCAGCTTGTCCAACAATCTTTTCAGGCTATTACACTCGTTCGTATCGTGCCCCACATCTTTGTGGTAGTGATAGTACTTGTTCTTGTTCTGATACTGGGTCGACCCCCTCAAAGGCTGGGGTTTCTCAAATTCAAACTTATCCTTGATTTCCATCAAAATCGAGTAACAATCTTTGTTATATTCATACTGTGGTTTGTACGTCTTGGCTTTCTTGGACTTGGTCTATCGGCAATTAGCCACCTAGACTTATTTTCTTTTGTTACCTCCTTCCTTATTTTTGCCGGCCGAGTCTTGCTGAGAAGAGGGTTTCTTCTCGGCGCCCTTGGCCGACTCCTCTGCTTTGGTAAGCGAACGGAAACCAGCTGCCTCTATATATGATTCGGCCTCCCGTAGAACACTTGCGTATGTCTGAATCTTTTATCTGATCAAATCAAACTTGAAACCATTATGCCTTAATCCTCGAAGAAACTCCAAGTAGGCCATTTCATCTGGCCGGTTCTGAATTTGTGCTTTCTCCATGTTAAACCTTTAAACGTACGAACACAACCCCTCTTTCTTCCCTTGGACGATGATCGCCAAGTTAAGACTAGTCTTCCGGGGTGGTATATTGTAGGAGAAGTTTCCAACGAACAACAAGTTGAGAGTTGTGAAGCAATTGATGCATTCGGGCGGTAGACTGTTAAACCAGTCTTGAGCCACACCCTTGAGGGTGGACGGGAAGCATTTGCATCAAGTGGCATCATCCACACTTTGCAAGAACATCAAATTTCTATATGAGGAAATATGTTCTTCTGGGTTGCCCATACTGTCATAAGCACCCACAAGTATACTCTTCACTTTAGCTGGATGGGGAGAGTTGAGAATTTCTTGAGATAACGAAGGCGGCTTGTCACTATGAGTCATCAAGCGCATTTGCTAATCAATAGACTGCGGTTGTGCTGCCGGTCTGACCAAGTAAGCTGCCTAGTCATACGGCTTGCCATATTGCCCGTACTGCCCGTACATAGGGACAATAGGCGTCTGGATTGCACCATAGTTATGGGGCATTTGAAACTGAGCTGGTTGAGATAAAGGAACTGGAGTTAGAGTACAGTGAGCTTGACTTCTACTGGTCCTGGCCAAGTCGATATGCTTGGTGAGGGTATGATTTGACATTTCATCCGGCATGGTGGGAGTGGAAGCAGTGTCTGAGTAGAAGGAATGTGCTCTCTCCTGCCGCTTGTGCCGAAGGTAGTCTCTATTATCCTTGAAGCGCTGGGACGGCTCGTTTGGCTGCCTCAGAGGCGGCCTCACTTGCCCCCCCAGCCGACTTCGATTTCTCAAGCAGCCTCGACTAGTTCGTCCAAGGCACCCTAGGGGACCTCGGTTGCCTCTTGAACGGAGTAACTCCCGCATCTTTAGTATTGGTCGCCTTTGCGTAGGGCTTCTTTTTGGTATCCACTCCTTCTTTCCTAGGCGGCTCCTCCTCAAGAGAGTATCCTGCCCTCAAACTCCTTTTGGAACTTGGCCAAAGCAGCCTGTAGGGAGCCGGCCGTCATAGGAGGATCCTCGGCCTCATGAAACGAGGCGGTCAGAGAATCGTTGTTGTTGATAGTAACCTAAATATTCTCTACATGTCCGTCTTGACCAGGACCGGATGTCTGACCATCTTTAGCCATCTTAGACGTGTATCCCCATAGACGGCGCCAAATGTTTCGGGGTTTTTTGGAATCCCTCGAGATACAGGTCTTGAGTATAGCCGGACAGCTGCGGACACCTGCAAAACAACGAATATTCCATTTACGGAATATTTGCCTTCGACGATCAAGTTAGTGATCGGAAAACGAAAGTATTTTAGAGAGAGAAAGTAGAGAGAAGTTAGAGCAATTTGCTTATGCAATAAATGATATGTCTCAATCCACCCCTCCCATCATAAATGATTGGGGTATTTATAGGGGTTGGAATGTGTGCACTCTAGGGTTAGTGCCCTAAAAAGGAGTGATTTGATTGGCGGCGCAATCAGAGTAGGACACGTGTCCTTTGGGGGCGCCGTCATGACGCCTTTATCAGAATTTGGGCCTCCTGATGTAAGGAGACCTTCTTTCTTTCAGGTGCTCCTTTATTTTGCCACGTGTCGTCTTCCTATTGGGACACGTGTTGCCCTTTTATTAGGCCACGTGTCACTATAGGATTGAACCTTGTGATGGGGTAATTTTTACCCTAAACAGGTTGGGTTTAAAATTATGTCTGGTATGAAATCATGTCAGGTTGAAATCAGATCGGGTTAAATCAGGTCGGATTAATATCAGTTAGGTCAAAACAAATCAGATTGAATTAAGTATTTGTTGGGCCAATTTCGGGTTGAGTTTAAGTCAGGTTAACTTGGTTCAGTTTGAGTTTAAGTCGAGTTAAATCGGTTGCGAGTTGAGTTTAAGTCGAGTTAAATCGGTTACGAGTTGAGTTTAAGTCTAGTTAAATCGGTGTCAGATTAAGTTATGATCGATTCAAATTTGAATTCGGGTTGAGTTCAAGTCAATTATAGATTGAAATTATATCTCGAATTTTTTCAGATTAAATCAGATCGATTAAAATTCAAAATGAATTATTTTTTGATGTCAGGTGGATTTGGTTTTGACACCTCAATATCACCCACCAATTTCAAAAGCTGACCCTCCCTTGTTCCTTTCCATTTGCACAAGAGTCACTTTATTATATTCACCTAACATATGTCATGAAAACAATTTTCAGTTACGCAATCAAAGACCTTTATTAATTCTTTCATTCCCTCAAACATTCATTTTGTTCATACAATTGTCGTGTTTATTTTCTTTAGTCAACCTTCTTAGAAACTCTAACAAAAACTAAATACACTTCCTTCAATATATTCTTTCACATGCTGAAACAACAACCTGCTTAACAATTCCTCACATAAGTAAGTTTACTTTATTATTTTAAATTTTTTGTTTTGTTTCATAAGTTTACATGATCATTCCACTTTAATGGCGGTTTTCTGGCATCTTTTGTTAATTTAATGGGGAAAAAGTTTAACTTTTTGATGTGTTTTTGTTCTAATGGTGATTTAATTTAAAAGAAGCTGAAATTTTGAATTGGGTACATGACAGTTATACTAATTTGGTTTTTGTTTTTTTTTTTCTTTTTTTTTTATAAATTTATTTTTGGAAGTGTATCCAAAGGTGAAAGTTAGGGTTGTAGAGCAGGATGATGAATTTAATAGCCCCAGAAGTCCACTGCAGGGTTTTAATTCTCTCTCCATTCGAGATTCTACTCCTCCTGGTATTGCTCATGATCACTGAATTACCTTGTTAAACTTGTGTTTTTTCTCTTCTAAATGAGTGTGATGGGAGTAACAAATGGCGGGATCTCAAGTTTTTTGGGTACCACCTACAAGACCTTAAAAAGTTTAAACGAACCAACTAAGTTAGTTGGCATCCGAAAATTAGGAATACTTTGGCTGTTAAACTGGCATCTGTAGTTTCTCAATGATTTATAAGTGTTTGCCTACTAGAATTTTTTAATAGGGTTTTTTGAGCTTTTATGAATATTACTTTAGTAATACATCCATTTTGAAATATTAAGATTTGCTTTAAATCCTTGATGAACTATACTAACAATTTATTTGGTGATAGTATCTATTGTACAGAGTGAAAAGAGTAATGTAGCAAAATAGAGTGGATTGTCTTGCATTTTGGTGTTCCAGATTTGTGTGTCACTATTTATCAATCATAATTATAATATTGTATATATTGGCTGCCTTTGTATGCAGTTAATCAAGTAATTTTGTCTGTACAAGCTGTTTTTAGTTGGACCCTTTGGTAATTGGTTTCCATATATGAATGACTTGTACATGTTGGTAAATTTTACTATTAAATTTCTTTTTTCCATTTTTTGGTAGTGATTCTATTGTCATTTAGTTAAGTCATATATTCGTTTCAAAACCAAAATCATAGATTGATTTCATGTGCTTTCTGTAATTTATGTATTAGCCGCATTCTTATACAAATTGTTGGCTTTTGTATTAGTTACCCTTATGCCTACATCTGTGAAATAAATAAGGCAGATAATCAGCCAAATGTCCTCTCTTTATGGACTGTTGTATGTTTTTCCAAATATTGTTATCAAATGAAATATGGAGTATCTTATTTTACTTCTTTCCATTTTTGTGTAATGATATTATTACCATCTAAAATACTTCATATATACGTTGTTATTATTTGTGTGAGAGATGGGGAACAAAAAGAGTCAAAGGTACAAATTTACAATAGTTAATGGTGTTGCTTTATGTTTCAAAAAAAAAAAAAAAAAAAAAAAATGGTGTGGCTTTATAAGAACGATATAGTGTCTGCCAATTTGAATGACATGACTGGTTATAAAGTGGACGAGAGAATGAAGGAATTCCTGAAAATGCACACTTTTGCTTGGTGCCTTGAAATGTGACATAAATGAGATGGAAAAAAAATAAAACATGAAGTAGGAAGAAGGAAGGATCACTTGTTTCTGCCTTGCGCAGATACAATGTGTTAAACGTGCTCTAAATATACTGTAAGGTTCAACAAGTCTGCGTTAATCCTTGTTTTACTGAATTTTGCTACATTGCTGTAAGGTTCAACAAGTCCGTGTTAATCCTTCAACAAGTCTATTTTAATCCTCCTTAGTTCTCACAATTCTAGCTGTGTAAGAAATGAAGGCAACAAGATTTGATCCTGATCTGTGGGTAACAAGAACAGTGTTTATTTAAGGATTATTTTCTCAAACTAAAACTGTAATCATCTGATCTATATATAATGATCATAAACCCTTCATCTGTTAGTTCTCCAATGTTTATGAAGCAAGTCAAATTATTTTAAAGATTCTAAATTCACTCTAATAGGATCATAGGAAGCAAATTACCATTAATGATCATATATGTGAAGGAAGTAGTTGAAATTAATAAGAACAGAAGGATTCCTATATAATCGAAGAAGATTTATGGTCATCTAAATCTGGATGCTTGCCTTGTTATGCATCAATTTAACACAATTGAATGGTGCTTTTGTGATTTGGTGGCTATTATTTTTATCATACCAAACTTGAAGCCTTGTAACATCTCTTATTATATGCAACAAAGTGAATCCATTTTCAATAATTTTTTGGAATTCAAACAAGGCATTTTGATCTGAACTGTGATGTTTGAGCTCTACATACAAGACCAATGAGAGGAACACTGAGCAGAGATACATCATGGACAAATGATGCATTCTTCTCTTTAAAGCCTTAACAAAATTTCCTTTGTGCATTCTGAATTTCTGATCATGGATTCTTCTCTTTAAAGCCTTAACACTGGAGGGGAGAACTTCTAATACACTCATACACTTGCCAATTACATCCTTTGTCTATTTCAGCAACATAACTTTTGTAGGACTCCAATATCATGTCAACAACACAAAACACAACCCTCTGGAAGATGCACACCTGAAATGGCTGTAAGCATGAAAATGAAAAAATGCTAGCAAAGAGCATTATCTCCTTTATGGGCGATAACATCTTTAGGACAAGAAACTGTCAGTGCCCATTACTGCATATATAAACTACTTTAAGAGCTCAAATCTTCAGGCTTAAGATACATCTGCAAGGAACTTAGCTGTTCTGCGGTGCTTTCTTCCAATAGTTTTATTGAATTATAAAAGACTTAGTGTTACAAAAGGTTTATAAAAGTCATAAAGATCCCATGAGTACCTCATGGGTGGATACTGTCATCCATGTACAGAAGCTTGATGATTACTTTATCCTTGCAAACTTTGAGATCAAAGCTAATGCTCTCTTTTAGACCTTTTGATCTGAGCCAGCCCCGATTTTCTTGTCTCCACTGGCTCTCTTTCTTGAACAAATGATCCCCTATAGTCTTCCTGAACTTTGGACAATTATCTAGCATTAAATTAATTTTTTGTAATCCCTGATCCTTGATATTGACTGCATCCTCCACAACAGAACTTAATTAACTAAGTTTTAAATATTCTCATATCTTGGTTTGAGCTACAGTGGCATCTGGCATGCTCCATCAATTTAGAAATACTGTTGCTTTCGGATGGTCAGATTAATGTCTACATTTTGCTTCATCTGTACCTTATTACTTGTTGCTTCTCTTTATTCATGGAATTGGGGTATCTGTATGATAAATCCTCATAATTTTCTGTTTTGTCTACCTTTGTCATCGAAGATTCTTTGCCTCGTTTGATGTCCATTTTTAATCTTACATGTCCGCACAACTTCTTGTTCCAGCTTCATATACCATGTAAATTACGTTTTTCGTTCGGCCCACATTTAGAATTTTCTGGAATGTGAAAACTATGAGATGCGATACATCAATGTCCTTTCGGACTCTGACCCCCTAACACCCTATTGCTAGAATGTGGAATTGTGGCTACTTTTAAGCATTTTTTCATAAGCAAGTGTCTTGATGTAGCTGTCCTAATTTCTTGGTTATCTATATTCATCTGAGGCGAGCCAGATCCTACTGTTTCAATCTTATTCTCTTTGGTGTGATAGTTATAGTCCCCACAAGAAGGGGCTGATCTTGTCTATGGCGGGCAGGGGCCGGCCTCCCTAAGTTTTTCTGGGTATGGTTTCTTATAAATGCATATAAAAAGTTGTGGAGGCATCTTCTAGCTAGAGAGAGAAGTTGTTGTTTGCCTATCTATTGTCGAGCTAATCCACATTTTGTAATGCTTGAAGAGTTGCCTCTCCAGATTATATAATGCATATAACTTTTTTATTTAAAAAAAAAAAAAAAAAAATCTATGTATATGTATAGTCTTTGGTTCTTTTTTATGTTTTAATCTATCTATGTGTCCTTATGTCTTATTTACTGTAGGTATAGTCTTTGGTTCATTATATTTTTGGTATATATGCTTTAGAGATCTTGCATGCATTCATCTTTACCATGGTGCACATCATTGGTTCATGCAAAGTGCTGGTATGTGCTTTGATTGTATTGTAAAGGTCAAATGTTTTTATAAATACTATTTTGATTGATGCCGTGTATGATCGTAACACTTCATGTGCTTTGTGACATTTGGGCCTCTATCTTCCTCACTGCATGCTGGTTTCTTGTAATTCACTTATATATGTGGCCATTGTAATTTGATTATTGCTGACAGTAAAAGGAGTTAAACATTGCTCATCAGTATCAGTTGCTAAGGTACCAAGGTCATACATCCCAAGATCAATTACTCCACCCCCTTCTTTGCCAAAACGTAAGGTTACGTGTTTACTGCATAGCAGCTGCTCAGTGCTTTTATTAACAAAGCTAGGAGCTTTTAATTATTTCTCATTTTAAAATGGCAGCTGCAAAGAAGAGTGACACAGAAGAAGATGACATTAAACCTCATATCAGAGCTAGTTCAATCCCAAGACCACGTGCTGTCATTTCTAGCCCTGGTAAGTTTATTAAACTTCAGTCATTTGACAACAAATGTCGTAATAAGTTTATATTTGAGATGCTTTGGTGTGCAATTTTATACCTGATGATGTTTCATCTATGTGTGAATTTATTTGTCTCTGTCCGGCTACATTAGGAAAGTTTTCTGTGAAGTTGATGTTATTACTTTCTACCTACCTTTTCTGGTAGGAAGATCTCCCTTGATGTCAACTCTTGTAGCTTTCTACAGGAATCACTTTGTCTATCAAACGAGAACTGCATGAGAATTTATACTTATTTTGGTTGGAAATTGATATTGTTTTAGGACTGTACACAAGAACTAAGAAATGAGTTAAAGCCTTAAAGGAGATATTGCCCTTAATGTAAGAAGTTGTTTACCTTTAGAAAATAAGTTCTGTTCAGTGTTCACAATGATAAATACCATTTGTTCTTAATGAATTAACATTAAGGATGTTTCATTTTACTCTTTTTTTATTTTATTTGGAAGATCATGAGGTTAAGTACTCTTAGAAATGATTACTTTTAACTGCAGGGATCAATATATATCGAGGGGTAGTGACTGTTGAGTACATGTATGGTAAAAGAGGATCAGTGACTAAAATTTAACCCTTTAATTTAATCTTGGAGTTCAGAGCCTATGTGGGATTCTCTTCATAGAGAAAGTTCAGGTTACAAATATGCGTTTGTATGAACAGATCATCCAACTGTTAAAAGGCATTAAAGGGATAAGGGTAATATATGTGTGACCCTCAATCAATTGATGGTGCTCACTGGAGTGCCATATTGGTTCTAGACTTGTAATAGTGCCACATCTGGTATCTCTTATCTTGGGATCTGATTGTCATTTTATATTCCTTTTTGTTATACTTGGAAACCTATTGCTTCACTGCTCTGTGACTGTGACCAGTCCTGCAGTCCTTGTACTCAACCACTACCTTAATAATTAACCGAGCTGATTGGGATGCTCTTTGATCAGTCCTTGTACCTGAAAAGCCTTTCTCGCTGAGGAACTTTGCCGGTTTTAACATAACCCGCTGCTCTAAATGAATCAAGTGTGAATCAATTGACCTCATGACACTTATTCCATTATGCAGCTTATACGTTTAGTGTATGCGAAGACATATTCGTACTTACACCAGCAAGTCAATTCTGCCTAGCTTCCTGCCAGGCTGCCACCTAAGTTATTGTTTTTATTTTTCCTTCTTCTTCATTTTTTTAATCTTAGGGAAATACAAATTGTAGAGCCCTTTGTTTCTCTTTGTGTAGTTACCCTATACACAAACTAAAAAACACTTTCTTTAGCATTTTGGGGCTTTGGGCTGCAGAAATACTTGGGCTAAATAACTCTTCCTTGTGTTGATTCAGTTATGTGCCTCAGTGCATCAGTTCATGGATTAAACAAACATGATCCTGGCCTCTTTTCATAGCTGCTTATATTTCTGATGTTTTGGACCTGTTAGCTAAGATGTTTTGACCATGAACTACTTGCATGGTTTTCAATTTTCCTTTACCTAGTAGTTTAGGTGGTTTTTATGTTTGTGCCTGCTGCATATCAGATTGCATTTATGAGAAGTTAAGAATATATCCTGAGAACTTGGTTTCTTATGATTGCATAGCCTCTACAAATTTGACAACCCTTCTTCTGTTTGTTTATTTTAGATAATGACCAAATCTTGGGAAGTAAGTACCAAAAGAGGTCTCAGAGCAGACAATTGGAAGGAAAGTGCACTCGAATGAGCCATACATCAGCTTTGAAAAATTACAACTTGCCTCAAAGACGGCAAACTGGAGGAAAGTGCACTCAAACGAGTACGACATCAACTTTAAAAACCCACAACCAGGCACAGAACAGACAATCAGATGGAAGGTATGGGGTAATAAGTACCACATCAACCTTAAAAGCTCACAACTTAGCTCAGACCAAACAATCAGAAGGAAAGTGCACTCAAATGAGTACACGCTCTAAGAAACCCTTAAATAGAGGGGAGTATAAGGAAATGACTACTATCAGTGATATGAAAGCAGAGGAAGGGTCAGCTATACAAGTAAGGGTTCCAGTAGCAAACATTACTAAAGCAAAACCTTGCTTTATGATAACATAATTATCTATGTTGTATGAAGGTAGGTTTATATGGTATTTGAGTTTAGCCCATGAAACTGAGACATTAAAGTCGGCTCATGAGCAAGAATGTTGTATATTGCTCTGTAACGACTTATTATGATATACTACTAGTTTACTACTAACACAACCAATGAGGTCTTGACCAAGTGACAAAGACTGAGGGCTTGTGTACAATGGTTATAGATTTGAAGCTTCACCCCACGCCCACCGCATCTGTAACCCCACCGCATTGTAATATGAAATGCCCTTATTGCTCTTCGAAAACATAAATAAATTCACAAAAAAAAAAAAAAAAAAAAAAAAAGCCAAGTATTGTGTACCCTGCTTATTATTACACTGACAATTACGTTTTTTCAACTCTTTGAAATACACAATTAAATTAGAAAAAGTTTGTTTTTTTACTAAGCTGTAATTTTTCTCTTAGTAATTTCCCTCCAAAAAGGGTGAGAGTATGTGAAGGTTCAATGGGCACTCAAGAGGGGGGGGGGGTGAATTGAGTGTTAAGTAATCGTTGGCTAATTTTGCTTCTTTTCGGATTATGTGTGAGGAACCAGTTGTGCTGGTTCCCGTACGCAGCGGAATATAAATAAGCAATAAAGAAGACAACAAATTTAACGAAACAAAGCAATAAAGAACACAACAAATTTAACGAGGTTCAGCCAACTCAGGCCTACGTCCTCCTATCCTAAGTTCTTTATTAATCTACTCCGAAAAACAAAGACAAAGAACACTCTGCTGTTCCCTACTCCGGGAACCAGCAAACCCCACACTCTACTCCGAGTGTGCTCTCGACTTACACTCGTAAGCCCAATGTGTTTGAACTCACAAACACTCACCCAGCCTTTAACCCCTTTGTTAAAGACTCAATACAAGAATCAAGAACTCTCCTTTGATCTCACTTCTACGAAGCTAATTAAGAGAAAAAGTTTAAGTACTAGAATGCTCTTGTATATGACTTGATGAATGGGATTAGTGCTTAAGTAAATGCTCTCAAATAATTGCTCTTTTAATTTCTGGAGAGGCACACGAAATATGTGAAATAAGATGAGTTTATATAAGCTTAGATTCCTAAAACCTAGTTTCCTTAAATCACACAATCTTAGAGAATAAGATATAATGTAATTTTAGGAAAGTTTTTATCTTATTTGATTTAATCACAAAGATAGAATCAATTAAGATAAATACTCCTAGTTTTTAGGTAACCAAGAATATTTCATCTTATTTCCAGCTGCACAAAATATTTTCAAGATAATCTTTTCGAAAAAATCTTTTTGTAAAATCTTTTTCCAAAACAGCAGCTCGAATATTTCGTACAGTGAACCTGGTTCCCCGACCTGGTTCCCTGAATTGAAACATGTTATGAAACCTGTTCCAACTCTGTACCAGATTTCATATCATACTTCAATATACTTTTAAGCACTTATATAACCCAAACATGCAAGCATACTACGGAGCATATTACATGAAAACCTAGATAACATATTAAAGCATAAATCGTCTTTTCTTCATGTAATCTTCAAGACTTGAATCTTCCTTGAATACTTCTATTATGAGCAAACAATCTTTCTTCGAAATATCTTCGAAAGGCTTCTATGCTCCAAGTCTTGGAATCAACTCAACTACTGCACATGTAACATGGTTAATGCACAATAAAGAGTAAGTGACTGCTGTACCACGTAGCAACCATGGAAACAGTACATACTGGTTCCCTACCAGTACATAACACTTTTATCATATAACTGTTCCCTGTATAAAGACAAGTTAGTTCAATAAGAAAACTCATGTAAGTAATAACTTGTCTGGGGAAACAGTGTTCTATGTTAGCTGGTTCCCCCAACTGTATCGAACACTTTCAAGGACCTGTTTCCCTTAGCTGTTTGTCATCATTCAAAACTATCAATCAAAACCTAAGGGACTCAACAAATTCCCCCTTTTTGATGATGACAAACTCTTGAAGTTCCTGAACCTGTGGACATGCTCAAAAAGAAAACCATCAAAAACTTCAAGGACTCAAGACTCTTTGGAACAAGTCAGTTAGGCCAACTGGTTCCCTAAACAGAAAATAGAAAATACGAAATAAAAAGACTCAAACTGACTCAATCTAAACTAGCTAAACCTTAGGCTTCAACTTCAGACTACTTCCCCCTTTTGGCATCATTAAAAAGTATCCACAAGTAAAAGCAATGTGCACAAGTTAATGTGCTTATCCATACAATGGCATCAACCACCATTCAAGCATTATGCTGCAAAAAGAGATTAGTCAAACAGTTCATACCATAGCAGAGTTAGTAGTTCATACAAGCCAACAAAGTTCAACCAAAGAAGCCCAAATCCATCCAAAAAGAAAGTTCATGGAATGGAGAGAAGTAGACAGACCAACAAAATCAGTTATTTTAGAATAAACATGAGGGTGAGGAAACAAGAACAGAAACAGCATCACTCCTCATCATCATTCTCGTTCCCTTCCTCCTCCTCAAACTTTGCAACATCTTCTGTATTATCATCTGATTCCTCTTCATCTTTGTCACCATGCTCTGCTTAAACCAAAATCATTATATTACTAAGCATATTCTTGTGATTCCCCAATCTGTTTCAAAACCACTTCCTGACCTGCTGGTTCCTCTATTTTTTTTTTTTTTTTTTTTTAAATCATGAGAGATATGTACTGATTCAGAATGTTCTCCTTGTTGCATAACGAGTGCAAAACTGTTCTCCTTGTTGCATAACGAGTGCAAAACTAGCATCACATCAATCAAGCAAAGAGGTTCTTGCTGGTACCCTTTTTCTCTTGGTTCCTGGAACAGCGTCAATGGACTGTTCCTCCTGCACCTTCTCAGTGAACTTCTTTAATTGAGTTACTCTACTTCGTACCATGGTCTTAGCAGTGGGTGTCTCCTCATAATAACCAACAACCTCTATTTCATCCTTTTCACTCTGACTTTTCTGAATTTCCTCCAACTTCGGGCTTAAGGACATTTGAGCTTCCTTCTGATGTTCCCCCTGAGACTGAGCTGGTTCCTTGAGTGAACAGTAACCGAATGATCAATGATGAATTTAAAGCATACGAGAGAGAGAAAGAGAATTTCGAGTGATGATGATTGATGATCTGCACAAAGGGTTAGTGTACATTTTTAACAATGAAGCACAAAGAGAGAAGAAGGAAAGAAAAGAGTTAGTTGAGCCAATAAAAAGCAACTGTAAAGGATATTTTTAAATTGAAATCAAAAATTTGGTAATTATCTTTTACCATAATTATCTCAACCAACTATAAATAAGGCATATGATATGTTTGCCTTTTATATGGGATTAAATAACTGAAATAAGATAAATTCCTTCCAAAAGGAAATATCTTATAGTAATCTTCCGAAAATAAAAGATATTATCGGATGACATATCAGAGCTGGTCTGCTGTTTCCCTTTGCTGGTACCTGTATAGAACCATGTCACGCTGTTTCTGGCAATTCAGCCTGATTTCACCTGTTTCTTACAACAATGATTCTCAATCTTTTTGAGATTTTGAACCATCTACACAACACTTGAAAGATATCAACATAAGTATGTACACACACTATACAAGAGAATACCATTCTAACCAATCATTGAAGGAAGTAATTGAAGCCAAAACCTAAAATCTAACTAGACCTAAAAGGACTCTTAACCTACAAAAAGACTCTCTACACAAAGGCTTTGTGAAGATATCAGCAATTTGATCTTCACTTTTACAAAACAACATCTCCACCAATCCTTTTTCCACATTGTCTCTTAAAAAATGGTGTCTTATTTCAATGTGTTTTGTCTTGGAGTGTTGCACAGGATTCTTTGAAATATTGATTGCACTAGTGTTATCACAGAAAATAGGAACACTTTTATAAATAACACCAAAATCTTTCAGCTGGTTCCTTATCCACAGTAGCTGGGAACAGCATGAAGCTGCAGCTATATATTCAGAATCTGCTGTGGATAGGGCCACTGAATTTTGCTTTTTAGAACCCCATGAAATTAGACAAGAGCCAAGAAAGTGTGCCATACCTGATGTGCTCTTTCTATCAACTAAGAAACCAGCATAATCTGCATCTGTGTATCCAATAAGATCAATGGTACTGCCTTTGGGGTACCACAATCCCAGATTTGCTGTTCCTACAAGATACCTAAGTATCCTTCTAACAGCCTTCAAGTGAGATTCCTTTGGATTGCTTTGAAACCTAGCACACAAACCAACAGAAAACACAATGTCAGGTCTACTAGCTGTTAGATAAAGTAGAGAACCTATCATTCCTCTATAAAGAGAAGCTTCAACATCTTTTCCCTTAAGATCAGCATCTAATTTTGTAGATGGGGGAACAGGTGTATCATAAGCTTTGCTGTTCTCCATGCCGAATTTTTTCAGCAACTCTTTTAAGTACTTTTGTTGATGGATCATTATTCCATCATCCATTTGCTTAATCTGCAGCCCTAGGAAGAATCCTAGTTCTCCCATCATGCTCATTTCAAATTCACTCTTCATAAGATTAGCAAATTCATCACATAAAACCTGATTAGTAGCACCAAATAAAATATCGTCAACATAAATTTGTACTACAATCAAGTGTTTCCCCCTGGTTCTTATGAACAAGGTCTTGTCTACTGTTCCCCTCTTGTAATCATTTGCCATCAAGAAATTGGACAATCTTTCATACCAAGCCCTCGGAGCTTGTTTCAATCCATATAATGCTTTGTCCAACTTGTACACATGTTGGGGGAACAGTGCATCTTCAAAACCAGGTGGCTGCTCCACATATACTTCTTCCTTTAAATATCCATTGAGGAAGGCAGTCTTTACATCCATCTGAAACAGCTTAAAATTCATGTGAGCAGCATAAGCAATTAAAATCCTAATAGCCTCTAGCCTAGCTACTGGTGCAAACGTCTCATCATAGTCAATTCCTTCTTGTTGATTGTACCCTTGCACCACTAGCCTTGCTTTGTTTCTGACTATAGTACCAAGGTCATCTAACTTGTTTCTAAAGACCCATCTAGTGCCAATGACTGATCTTTCCTTGGGACGGGGAACCAGGTGCCAAACCTGGTTCCTCTGAAACTGATTTAACTCATCTTGCATAGCTAGTACCCAATCAGGATCAGTCAATGCCATTTTATAGTCAGTAGGCTCTACATTAGACAGGAAAGAATAGAAAGCACAAAAGTTTTGAAAAACATTTGTT